AGAGAGCGATTCACACCAGACATCCCAAGAATATTGCTACACTGAAACAGTTTTGTGAAGAGGAGTGGTCCAAAATTACTCCAGATCATTGTGCAGGTCTGATCTGCAACTACAGGAAACGTTTGGTTGAGGTTATTGCTGCCAAAGGAGGGTCAACCAGTTATTAAGTCCAACGGTTCACATACTTTTTCCTCCCTGCGCTGTGAATGTTTACATGTTATGTTCAATTAAACCATGACAACATGTAATGTTTGTGTATTATTATTTTCAGCAGACTGTTTTTCTATTGTTGTGACTTAGATGACGTTCAGAGCACATTTTATGACCAATTCATGCAAAATTCCGCGTTATCCCAAGGGGTTCACATACTTTTTCTTGCAACTGTATATAGGCTGCCTATTGAAAACATAGCTTCTCCTTTTTTCACTGAGTTGCAATGTATCCAACTTTATGCCACAAGCTTTAATGCAGCCTCTTCAGAACCTTCAATCTATCAAAGGTTGTTGTTGTTCAGTATGTGTCTTTTGCTGACTGGCAACACCTCTTTAGTTTCCCAGTTTCAGCAAATAGTCCCATATTTGAACCTGGAATCGATGAAAGTAAAATGTGCTATACAGACAAAGTTCCTCTTCATTAATAAGATGTTCAACATCAGGAAATTTTGTATGTAAATATGGACCAGAGAATAGAGAGGAATTTGGCTTGTGAAATGTGTCACTCCTTCCAAATACTATCCTGTCACTTGGGTTCATGTCATGATAATAGCTGTGTTTATGGTGGGCTACTTCCAAAGTAAATCTTTTTTGATTCTTGTATTTCAGTCTTAAGAATGGTGGTCTTTGATTTAATGGTGGTCAAGTGTATTGATTTCGTAACAGGCTTTGGAGTAGCCTATATAAACTTAACTATAGGCACATATAGATAGGCTTGAAGTAAGATTTAAATAGGAAGAGGCTGTAATTCATTGGAAGATTGCAGTGGGAGTTTACCTCAGATCAGAAAGCCGTAATCAGTCAGAATGGACAGTACTGACTCAAGATGGATGCTGTGAGTAGACTTCTTCAACTTAGGCTCAACGTTTGGTGACCTCATGGGCATTTCCATATAGATAGTAATATGGAAATAGTTTGACACTCTCTTCTGGATTTTATTTTTTTTGTGTGTACGGAGATGGAGGTTGTATTTCAGTTCTTTCCCAGTGTAAACTTTAACCCTGGGATGTCTTTGTAGTCTCTTATCCAGCTGTTAACAAAGTCCATTATTGCTTAGCTTCCAACCTCAAACAGATACCATCCATGTGAATCTTATGTTTGTAAGAAAGCTATTCTTTATTCAGCTCCTCTGGTCAAGGATGATGGGGAGATCTTTTCCCAGTCAGAGGTTTCTGCTTCTCAAAACACCCTGTTACAGACTGTGGTTATAACTTGTTCTAACCAGGGTGAGAAAATACCTTTTCCCCTTGGGTGGCATTGATACTTTCTTGGTATTAGGTGTTAGGTTGGTTACTTTTAAAAATAACTGTTAATCTGAACTGAAGTTTAGTTTAACAAGCTTAGCTTTTAGATAATAATTACATTCCTAGAACAATTGCTTTTACTTTTGTTTTTCTCTATTCATCTACGGAAACTCCCTGTCATGCCTCATAAATTTTGATCAGTGTTTCACAGATCTGTATATTGTATTACTAGGAGTAGCTCCCTTCCCTTTCACCACACATAATACAGGTAGTAAACCATTCACTTAGTGACCATTTGAAGTTACAATAGCATTGAAAAAAGTTGACTCGTGATCGTTTTTCACACTTACAACCATTGCAGCATCCGTACAGTCATGTGATCAAAATTCAGATGCAACTGGTTCATATTTAGGATGGTTGCAGTGTCCCGGGGTCCTGTGATCACATTTTGCGAACTTCTGACCAGCAAACCAGATTCATTTAACAACAGGGTTACTAACTTAATAACTGAAGCGATTCACTTAATAAGTGTGGCAAGAAAGATCGTAAAATGGAGCAAAAGTCATTTAACCTCTGTCTTGCTTAGGAGCAGAAATTTTGAGCTCAACTGTGGTCATAAGCCGAGAACTACCTGTATGAAGGTTGGTCTCTTGAGCTTGCAATGGCATAAGGAAAGTCACCGTAAATCTTTAATGTAGGCTTTGGAATTGAAGTCAAGAGGAGTGTATCCTTTCCAGTGTACAACTCCACAAATATGGAAATCAGGGGAAAGAATTAGAATTAGAACTTGTGCCCTTTTGTTTCTTCTAAACTCTTGTTCCTAAATCCACTGCTCAGTTTCTGCACAAGATATACTTTAGTTGGAAAGCTAAAGTAAAATGAACCCTGCCTTTACCCAGATGTAGAAGTCTTCAGCAAATCCCAGTTGAAACTCTGATTATGAACTATTGTAAATAGCCATGAAAAGTGATATGATCGCCCTGCATAAATCAATTCATGATAATCAACACATACTGTAGTAGCACTGTCATACAAACTAAGCTTCTAGTAATGACTGTTGTTGTGTGGCCTCTTCTTTCTTTAAAGGCACATTCTTTTTTTTATCACAGGACTCCGTTTACTGGGATAGCTGACTTTTCTGTGACGAAGAATAAAGTCATTCAGCTGTGCTTGGATCTTACCACCACTGTTCAGAAGGTCAGTTAAGAGAGTGTACATGTCCTCTTTCTCTGCTGTTACTCTTTCTAAATTTCTCAAAGGAAGACAAAACAATAGATGTATAGAAATAAGTGCAATATAATTTTATAAGCAGCTTAGTGAAACATGTGAATTTTGGATTTGTATGATCAGATCAAGCAGCTTTGGTTCAAACTGTTCCCTGGTTTTGTTGTTGTGCTCTCCCAAAGCTAATACTATTATTTTAACAATGATTTTTTTTTAGTAACTAGTTACTTAGGAATTTATAAGCTCATTATTAGATTTTTAATTCTAACGGACTTATGTTGTTTCTCTATATCATAAAATATATGTGGGTATATGCAAAAAAAAATTCTTTTTTTGTCATATTTATGTAGTGTATATTAGAGGTGGTGACCCTTTGAGAGCTGTATGCAATGAAATTTCATTTTAATGTATGCCGATTAGTATACATTTAAAGTGACAATACAGTTATTCTATTCTATTCTATTCCCTCCACTTCTAGAGCTTATAAAAACATAAGGGCTTAACACATATTATAATTTTCTCCAGGTTTTTACTTCTTAATTTTTTTAAAAAGGCCAGAATGGTAAGAGGCATGTCGTAAAACAAGGCAGTTTCAGTCCTGAGTAATTTACACATAGCAGTTTATGCTCATTTTTCCTAGCAGCAACTTATAGTTGTGGGATCTACAAAACCAGAAGAGATATAAAACAGCAATACCCAGAAGGCAGTAAGAAGTGGAATACAACCATTCCTTGACTTACAACTATTGACTTACAACCATTCCCTCAGTGACCATTTGAAGTTAGAACAGCACTGAAAAAAGTGACATGATGTTTTTCACATTTACAATCATTGCAGCATCCCCATGGTCGCGTGATCAAAATTTGGACGCTTGGCAACTGACATGAATTTATGACAGCTGCAGTGTTCCAGAGTCATGTGATCCCCTTTTGCGATCTTCTGACAAGCAAAGTCAGTGGGGAAGCCAGATTTACTTAACAACTGTGTTACTAACTTAACAACTGCATGATTCACTTAAAATTGTAGCAAGAAAGGCCATAAAATGGAGAAAACTCACATAACGGTATTGTTTAGCAACGGAAATTGTTGTCGAGGACTACCTGTATATTTGATCCACAAAGAAAGGCAGAAAGAAATAAGAGATGCATTCAAATGTAGAAACAATTTAGAGTCAGACTAAACATGACAGCCAAAAGATCCAATAAATATTTTAACTCATAACTGGGTTTAAAACCTGTCTCTGGATGTATAAGGCTTATGGGCAGCAGTAGCTTCACTCTAGTGGCTGGTAACATTTATTTTTTCCCCAGCCACCCTTGCCTATATTGTCACTTTCTACAGCAGACACACAGGATTAAAAAAAACTATGCTCTAAATATAGGTAAGATTATAGCTATTTTCAGCTGAAGCCATCTTTCTAGAACTGCATACTTTAGGGTCTTTTCCCAGTAATGACATCGTCATTTTTTCTTCTTGCTTGGATCAAGATAAATTAGTTTGACTTCTAATCAATTGAGGTGACTGCCAACAGAATGCCATCCAGGTGAGATTTTTGCCAGTGGGACAAGAAATAAAGACTATTTTTATCTCTTTACCCCCCCCTCCCCTCAAACTGCTGTCAGAATATTATGTGTGCAGTAGGGGAAAGGAAAATAGCCCCCCACCCCACGCCCAAATCCACTTTCCTCTTCCAGTGACAGAAATCTCTGATGGTTCAACAAGTCTTACCTCTGGGATGCCACACTTAATTGGATGCTACCTTAAAGTCTTGTGCTTGCTGGCATGTCTACTTTGCCATTCTGGCTCAGACCGTTCCTTAAATGGAGAAGAAAGTGTAATCTCCTTCTAACGCTTCATTGCTCCCATTGAATAAATGAAGCTTTGTATACTTTCACACTCTGCTGGATGTTGTCCTTTCAGCCCAGTGTCTTTGCAGGTAATATTTGCAAAGCCGAACACCGTTCTATGAGAATACATTGTGAGTCACATTTTGTAGCTACAGATGAAGACAATAGAAGCACTGCTGGATGGATGGGATGCAGAAAATTTTAGTTGGAAATCTACATAACAAATAGATCTTCCTACCCCTTGCTTGCTTCCCATTACTTCCCAGTGTCCTTCAACTAGCAAATCCCACTACATTGAGAAGTGTCCTTCTCAATGTAGTGGGATTAGGCAATGAATCACTGAAGCTGCGTCCCATCATTTTTACGCAGGAGGATGATTTGCACATATAAGAGGCTTTTATTTGGATGCATATCATTGTTTTTTACATTAAGTTTTTTTTTACATTGTGTGTTCAGAAGATGGATAGGCTTTATTATAGTTGTAGGGCACATACCTTACATGTCATATTGCAGGCATGTCAAACTGCCGGCCCACGAGCCGGATGCATCATGGTAAAACTGCGCCCACCCCATTGCTGGCAATGTGACGTCGCGAGTTTGACATGCCTGTCATATTGAGTGCCTTGTTCAGTTGTCCTGATCGTTCCTTAGCATCTCTGGTTAGAATTGGGAAATACTTGCCTGGAATATTACCTAATTTGGGTAATAGAACGTCTGCAAGAAAACAACCAAGTTCAAAGATCAACAAGGACCCTCATTTCAGCCCTGAGCTGCAGGTATTCTCCTTTATTGATGCTTCCCTTTGACTTACAGCAATGTTTCTCACCCGTGTCAATTTGAAGATGTGTGGACTTCAACTTCCAACATGCTGTCTGTCTGAGGAATTCTGGGAGTTGAAGTCCACACATCTTCAAATCAACAAGGTTGATTTTAAGCTGCCAGTCTATTGAGGAACTAATAGTTTAACTTTATGTTTCTTTAACCAACTATTTTATGTGATAAAAGGCTATAAAAACACTTCAAAACCAATAATTAAGATTCTTGCTGAAGCTTCTGCAGAGAATTAGATTTTTGGATCATTGTAAAAAAGCTTTTGCGTTGCCCCCTATGCTCCAGACATATTTTACTGACTGTACAAGTCAATCAAGTCAAAATTACAGTTTGATGCTATATAAGGATCTTCCAGTAATAGAATACGTTCTTTTCTTTTTAAAGGACTGCCTTGTAGCTGAAATGGAAGATAAAGTTCTCAATGTAGTAAGTATAAATGTTTATGTTTAATTCATTTTTTGAATTCCTTTCTGTTAAGGCATTTTTTTTAATGATTGAAAGCAGCTTTACTTATTATGAAGCCCAATAGGAACAGCAGGCATCTATGGCTCCTTATTGCATAGTTTCCAGGCTTATCTAATCGCCTAAAATGAGAAAGTCCAAACTATTTTTGGATGATCCAAAAGCCCTGTTTTGATATGCAGCTTGCCTAGTTGAAGGCTAAAAATGGGACAAAGTAGAGGGTACATTCAAGCATTTCCCTGCATTCTTTTTTTTGCTGATGATTCAGTTTGGTTCTCATCTGTTCTGAAATGCAAATACCAGTCTGGATTCCAGCTCAGTTGATGGCATTTTTTTTTGTTTCTCAAAGAAATACATATAGATTCCTATCCTGTCATTGCAAGACTCATGACTAACTGCACCAAGGTGGAATATTAAGGATATTGGCCCATCGGATAGGGAGTTT